GGTATTAATTCATTCATGAGGGCTCTGCCCTTATGAGCTAAGAACACCTCCCAAAAAGCCCCACTTCCCAACACCGTTGGACAGGGTGTTAAGTTTCCAGCACATGAATTTGAGGGGACACATTTAAACCATAGCCCTCACATACTTATCATTTTTTGGTGAGAACACTGAAAATATACTCTTTTAGGAATTTTCAAATATCCAATACACTTTAACTATAGTCACCATTTTGTACAATAGATCTCTTGAACTTATTCCTATTTAACTGAATTTTTATATCCTTTAACCAAAACATCTCTCTGATCCTTCTCCTTCCAGCACATGGTAACCACCATTCTACTCTCTACTTTTATGAGTTCAACTTTTTTAGATGCCATATATAAGGAAGTCATGCAGTATTTGTCTTTATGTATCTGGTTTATTTCACTCAACATAATGTCTTCTGGGTCATCCATGTTGTCACAAATGGCAGGATTTTCTTCCTCTTAAAAGCTGAAGAGTATTCCATTGTTTATATATGCAACATTCTTTTTTTTTTTTTTTTTTAAATAAACTCATCAGTAGACGGATAATTAGGTTGAGTCCTTATCTTGGCTAGTGTGAATAATCCTTCAATGAACATGGAAGGAGAGATAACTCTTTGAGACACTGATTTCATTTCCTTGGCTATGTACCTAGAAGTGGGATTGCTGGTTTACATGGTGGTTCTATTTTTATTTTTATTTACTCTAATCACATAGAAGACTAATGGCAGTTCTATTTTTAAGTTTTTGAGGAACCTCCAGAATGTTTTCTGTAATGGCTGTTCTAAATTTACATTCCTACTGCAAGGGTTCCCTTTTCTCCACAACTTCTCCAGCACTTGTTATCCTTCGGCTGTTTGATAATATGCATTCCAACGGGTATGAGGGCATATCTCACTATGGTTTTAATTTTCATTTATTTGCTGTAGAGTGATTTTGAGCACCTTTTTATATAACTGTTGACCATTTGCATGTCTTATTGTGGGAATGTCTATTCAGGTTCTTTGCCTAAATCAGGCTATTTATTTTCTTACTATTGATTTGTTTGAGTTCCTTATATATTTTAGATATTAGCCCCTTATCTGGTGTGTGGTTTTTAAATATTTCATCCCTTTTTGTAAACTGTCTCTTTACTCTGATGATGTAATTTAGTTTTATGTAATTCCACTTGTTTATTTTCCTTTAGTTGCCTGTGCTTGTGGTGTCAAATCCAAAAATGTCATCACTTAGACCAATGTCATGGAGTTTTTTCCCTATGTTTTCTTCTAGTAACTTTACAGTTGTAGTAGGTAGATCTTACATTTAAGTCTTTAATGCATTTTGAGTTGATTTTCTTCTATGGTGTGAAGGGTCTAATTTCATTCTTCTACGTGTGGCTAATCAGTTGTCTCAACACCATTTATTAAAGAGACTGTCCTTTCCCTAGTGTGTGCTTTGGCACTTTTGTTGAAAATTAATGGACCATAAATGCATGGATTTATTTGTGGGTTCTCTATTCTATTCTATTAGTTTATTCATCTGTTTTTATGCTAGCAACATCCTGTTTTAACTAATACAGCTTTGCAGTATATTTTGAAGTCAAGTATTTTGATGCCTCCAGTTTTGTTCTTTTTGCTCAAGATTTCTTTGGTTATTCAGGGTCTTTTGTGGTTTCATATGAATTTTCAGGACTGTCTTTTTTTTCCTGTGAAAAATGACCCTGAAATTTTGATAGAGATTTCAGTGAACATTTAGATTATGTTGGGTAGATTGTTAATACAAGCATTTTAACAATATTAATTTTTTAATCTATGACCACGTATATCTTTCCACTTATTTGTGTTTTTATCTCTGAAGGGGATAAAGAGGGAAAAAATACTGCATTTATCCCTATCAAACTTCAGGTCAAGCAAACTAATTTAGAGAAATAAAATATAAGCTATAGTTCAATTTTTTAAAAGCCTCGGGATTTTACTCAGCCTCAATTTCAATGTGAACCAGAAGTCTATGTAAACTTAAATTCTGACTAATACTAGCCTATCTGAAGCTTTACTCAGCTCTGAGAACTGGATTTTTAAGAGCAATACTAACAAATCAGTGGTAAGCCAGAAAACTAAGACTGTGGTGGTTCCAGAAAATTAAAGAAACTAGGGATACCTTACCTGGGAGAAAGAAAAGAGGGAACTTGGGAAAAGATTATAAAATAGCTATATTTTAATATTTGTTAGTAGTAGGCTCACATTTGAAAGAAAGCAGCAGAAAAAAGATCAAAGCACAATATGATAGGTTGGTTTCATATACATAAGAATTTTCAAATAATCTAACCTGTCCAATAATGTGATGGACTGCTTTACTTAGTTCTCAGAGATCAGAAGTGTTAAGGCAAAGACTGTATGTACCCCTGTTAGAAATACTGTTGAGCAGATTGCTTCAGCAGGAAAGAGGCTAAAATACAGTAGTGCTTCTCAGTCTATGATCCTCTGAGCTACCTGAAGTGGTACTACGGAGTTCTGAATAGGTTGCAATTGTTGCTGAGCAGGCAAAATGCCTAACTTCTCCATCCTGGCTTCAACAAAATGTTCTACATATATATCTAGCTTTTGCAGTGGCTTTTATTAGGAGTGGTAGGGTTAGGGTGGAAGGAAGTACTATGCTTTAAATAAATCAATAAAAGTTCAAAAATTACTGAAGGACCTGAACGAAGATCTCTTTCAATTCTAATATTATCATTAATTCCTATTTCTCAGCTATATCCTAGGAAAGTAAGATCAACATCTTATTGACAGATTACTGCAAATAAGATTAACGTATATAATTTTAAAAGCCTCCTTTTCTTCAGTAATGGGGCTTTTAGAGTGAAACAACTGTCTCAGCTCTTCACTTTGCCTGTATCATCACAGCCTATACTGTGTCTGGGGAAGATTTTATCTTTCTCTGGAAAAGTTTAATGTTGAAAACAAATGTCCTTTTACTTCAAAAATAAGCAGTAGTTGTAGAAAAGTAGATCTTAGAAACACACAAAGTTATAAAATTTTAATTTGTACTTCTATAAAGGAAAACACTGGAAAAATTAGTTGCTATATAACTAAATCATAAGTGAAGAGTGTACTATCAAAATAATCATATGATTTATCCAAAAGTAAAAGCAATTTGTTATATATTAAAATACCAAAAATAGGAAGTAATATATGAAAGTCCCAGATGCTTGCATCTTTAAAATACCTCATCTCAAAAGTTACACATTATTTTGTAATTCCTTATATATATATACACATACACAAGTATATAAATCAGTGACCATATGAGTCGATTTACAGAAATTTTTAAATTATCTTACCTAGCTTAAAAAATTAACACAAATCTTACTGTATCAGATTTCTTACTATATCTTAGTCACACAAGTAGAATTCTTATTCATAATTCAACTGGGGATTCTATTTTCATTATAGTATTATTCAGAAATAACATTAATGGATTTAATTGTTCAGAAATAATTCTGAAGGTGTATGATCTATATTTTGCTGATATACAACTCAGAAGACGGCAGATTGGTGTGCCGGAGGCATCCACTTACACAGTAGTGACTCTGCCCAACCACTTGGCATGGGAGTCTCAACATAGCCTTATTGTTCATTTGCTATTGATAGTTTTCTATTGACAGTTTTTTGTGAGAGAATCATATGCTAAAAGGTATACCAGATCAGGGGCATTAGGTTTTAAGGTAAAATTCTCACGAACATCAAGGTGCATCAGAGTCTGTTCTATTCCATATACTTTTTAGTCAGGCATTATTTATAAATTTATGCATAAAATTTAAAAATATGATCATCACACAATATAGTATCTAATAATATCTCAAAATACTTCCATATCCTTTGCTTTTATAAAAATTTTATTTTCTTATAAAAGGTAACATCAGTGACAGAAAATTTAGGAAACATGGAACAGCAAAAATGAGAAAAAAAAACCCCTTTAAAATGCAAAACAACCAAATTTAACAGAAAAAAGTGTTAGTAATTTTAGGAACCCCATTTTAAATTGCAGAGGGATAAATGAATTCATATTTTTTCTCCGATGTAGTTTAAATTCAATCCTTTGCTCTGGGCCCACAGTACTGCTCAACTCATTTAAACACTTATACTAAAACCTGGATGCTTTCAGCATCAAAAAGTACAGAATAGAATTAATCTTCATATCACACCTGAGAGTCTCAAAAGTTATGCTACCAAAGCAAGTTACTACTACTGATGTGAAACTATATCATTAAGATTGTAAAGATAATAAAAAACTTAAGTGAAAATATCTGATGATCAAGTTTGCTTTAGGAAGACCAGATAATGGGATTAATGTGATAAAGTTAGTACTTATTGTTACTAAGATTTATACTACACAATACTTCTTGATTTTTAGCAACTATATTTTATAGATCTTTTTAATTTAAAAAATCTAAAATTCAGAGAGAATATAGCTCCCATGTTCCCCTTTAAATTGTTAAGAGAATTATATTTCTAATGTAAGTATACTTTTTGATTTAAGAAAACCAAAGCCAAGCATGTCTCTTACATACCTCTTTTTTAACCTACTATCTGCTAAAATATTTACAAAGATACTTGTTTAAGAAAGTAGATGCTAAACAAATAAACATTATGCCTGGAATGCTTCTTTGTAAATTGATTAAAACACCATCAAGTAACCTTCGGGATGGGCTACCTTTCAATTTAAGCTTTTACTTTAATTACTTATGGAAAGCCACTTTTCTCCTTGTATGTGGCAATTAACACAACATTTTCAATGCATCCCACAAATAGGCGTAAATCTGAGAACAGAGGCTCTTTTGTAGTCACACAGGCCAACAGATTTGACATTCTGATATCAGGTTTATGTTTCTCACATTGTAGAATGTTGGCTATCTAAGTCACACAGACTATGATTTCTAAAATTTCAAGCTTATCATAAAGACAGCTAGTGGGAGAATAAATAGTACATTAGTGCTTTTACCTTTTAGCCGGTGGCTTAAAATCTGTTCCAAAATAGCTGCAAAATTGTTAAATTCAGGAGAAGAATCATCAATTGTCTCAAAGCAAGACCGATCAATCAGGGTCTTCACAGAAAACCTATGAAAAAAAGATTATTGTTGCTTTTAGGCAGAGTTGATTAATTCCCTAAGTATGAAAAAAATGGGAGGAAGGCAATTTGGGGAAAACTTGTAAAAATATTTTATAAGAATATAACTTCTGAAAACCCCATTTATTCAAATTTATTCTGTAAATGGAAATTTTTACAGAAAGAGGAGTCTTTTTATTATTTCCTATCTCCTCTGGTCAGAATGTTTGTGTACTCCCAAAATTCATATGTTGATACCTAATCCCCAGAGCAATAGTATTAAGGGTTAGAGCCTTTGAGAAGTGGTTAGATAATGAGGGCAGAGCTTTCATATACAGAGTTAGTACTCTTATAAAAGAGGCCTGAGGGAGCTTGTTTGCCTCTTCTGCCATGTAAGGACACACAGAAGGTGTCATCTATGAGGAATGGGCTCTCACCAGACACTCAATCTGATGGTGCCCCAATCTTGGCCTTCCCAGTCTGCAGAACTGTGAGCAATAAGTTTCTGTTGTTTATAAATTACCCGGTTTAAGGTAATTTGTTAAAGCAGCCTGAAAGGACTAAGAGAGTATCTATTGACAAAACTAAGACTTAGAAATAGCTAATTGTCCCCATTAAAAACAAAATGTGACCTAACTAAATTAACTCCAAAATACTCAAAAACAATACTACTACTTGTAAGGAATTTGAGCTGCAGACTCAAATGCTTTTGAGAGTTTCTGAGCAGAAAACAGAATAAAATAGAATGTGGGTATTAATGAGAAGAATACATCTGTATTAGTCTGTTCTCACACTGCTAATAAAGACTTACCTGAGACTGAGTAATTTATAAAGGAAAGAGATTTAATTGACTCACAGTTCCACATGGCTGGGAGGCCTCACAATCATGGTGGAAGATCAAGGAAGAATAAAGGGTTGTCTTACATGGCAGCAGGCAAGAAAGCATGTGTAGGGGAACTCCCCTTTATAAAACTATCAAATCTCGTGAGACTTACTACCACAAGAACAGCATGGGAAAGGCCCGCCCCCATGATTCAATTACCTACCACTGGGTCTCTCCCATGACACATGGGAATTATGGGAGTTACAATTCAAGATGAGATTTGGATGAGGTCACAGACAAACCATTTCAACATCCAAAGTTTTTATGAGCTTATAAATAGCAAAACCTGCAAATCTGTAAAGTGTACTATATTTTTCCTTATCAGAATGTTCTTTGTCTGTATTTTTGACTGTCAAAAATCAATGTATTTTCCAAGTCTCAACTCAAATGTCATCTTCTCAATGGAGAATTATCCACCTGCATATTCCTAGCACAAACTAACATTTTATTTGTATTTATTTCCCTTAAGAGACAATTATGATTTATCTTACTGCTATCATTTGTTTTCCATCTTTATCTTATTAGAACACAATTTCTTCAGGCAGAAACATGCTTTCTGAACAATGTATCTCCCTCAGCACCTAGGACAATGCTTTGAACACTGTACTCAGTGGGTACCTGTTGATTTATTTGTAAGCTCTATTTTGAAAGAATAGCAAAGAAATGTTTAAACATCCTATCACGGCAAGACCCAACATATAGTTTATGAGTTTTAACATGTGTAGATTCATATAATCACCATCAAAATCAGGATACAAAATAGTCCTGTCACCTCAAACAACTTCCTCATGCTTTTTACAGTCATACCCTATAAAGGATGGTATATGAGAGCCTAAGACAGTGGGGAATCAAGACGATAAGGGGAGCTGTTAAATAATTGGAAATAAAAACTATAAAGAAGATAAAAGAGTACAAGCTTTTTTTCAGGTTTTACTCTTGATAGTCACGTTATTCAATCAGGACAGAAAATACAGGAGACAGGCATAAAGGGAAATATAGAAAGATTTGGGTTATATCTAGTATTTACCATACTAGAAATTGAACTAAAAGATTTTAAATACAGGCAGTCCTCACTTAGCACAGCAGTACAGGACCATAACAATAACTCTGCAAGTTGAAACCATGCAAAATCATCTTTATAATTAAAAATTATAATTTTCCTGTGGCCTTCATAAACTTTTCTCAAAACATTAAAAACTTTCTTACAACCGGTTACATAGGGAAATGAAAAATAGTAAAACAGATTTATTTAGTACACTGTACTTTAAAACATTAGAAGCACTGAGAATTCAAGTGTTCTACTTCTTTGTAACAAACTTATGAAGAGTTGTCTGAACAGTGCTTGCCTCATTCTTCTCATTTAGTGTAACTTAAGATACAGCGTAAGCCTCTTTTTCTGTCTTTTTGCAAACTGCCATATTTCTCGAACTAGCTTCCAATATGTTTTCCTTTACACTTTCAATGCTGTGAAATACCTCTGAGAAGCCCTTTAATGTGAAGTGTTCTGTTGGTGTCACTTCCTCTGGGACATTTTCATCCTTTCTGTTGCAACCACTTTCTTCATTTTTATTTTTTTAATTATACTTTATGTCCTAGGGTACATGTGCACAATGTGCAGGTCTGGTACATATGTATACATGTGCCATGTTGGTGTGCTGCACCCATTAACTCATCATTTACATTAGGTGTATCTCCTAATGCTATCCCTCCCCCCTCTCCCCGCCCCACAACAGGCCCTGGTGTGTGATGTTCCCCTTCCTGTGTCCAAGTGTTCACATTGTTCAGTTCCCACCTATGAGTGAGAACATGCAGTGTTTGGTTTTCTGTTCTTGTGATAGTTTGCTGAGAATGATGGTTTCCAGCTGTATCCATGTCCCTACAATATTCAACATTCTTTCCTCATTTTTACATCAACATTTGCCTCCACTAAGTTTCCTTGGCTGTATATGTAGATTCTCTTAAATAGGAGAAATGTGCACATTCCCATGATCAACAATTTATTCTGTAACTCCCTTTATATTCATGCAAATCTCACTTTAAGCATTATCATTTTCCATTCTTTTTTCTTTGAGACGGAGTCTCGCTCTGTCGCCCAGGCTGGAGTGCAATGCTGCGATCTCAGCTCACTGTAAGCTCCGCCTCACCAGTTCACACCATTCTCCTGCCTCAGCCTCCTAAGTAGCTGGCACTACAGGTGCCCACCACCAAGCCCAGCTAATATTTTGTATTTTTTTAGTAGAGCCGGGGTTTCACCATGTTAGCCAGGATGGTCCTGATCTCCTAACCTCGTGATCTGCCTGCCTTGACCTCCCAAAGTGCTGGGATTACAGGCGTGAGCCACCACACCCAGCTATCATTTTCCATTTCTTTTCTGTACTTTCATCTCTGTAAATTGGCCAATTCACTGTTTTTGATTATCCATTTTCAGATGCATAGGGACCAATCCTAGGCAGACTTTGAAAGAAGTGATATTACTGGTGTCTGATTATGATGTGTATTTGTTAGTTACATAGTGGTTTGTGGACTAGAGAGCCAGTGGCAAAATGTGTATTTTATGCAACTACTCACAGCTGAGTTACAGCGGTAATTCAAATTGAAACCATGTTACTAGATAGGATTGATGTTACTTAACTAAATTATGAAATACTGGAACCATGCAAAGTAAGAACTGCCTGTATTTATTTACTAATTATAAACAAAATTAATTCATTACATGCTACATAAAAATATTTTTATGAAAACTGCATTTTCCAAAAGAAAAACATAGCAAGAATAGCACTGTTTACATGTTTGCAAATATCTTTAATGTGTTTAATATGAGACAATTAGATTATATTACTACTTTTTTATTCAAGCTATTATAATAGTACACATTACGTAGCATCTGGAAAACTCCAGGATACACTTGTTAGAAAATGGGAATTTTTAATAAAAAAGACAAAGAAAATGACAATAGTAATAACAACAAAAGAGAATGGGAATTTTAAAAGGCAAATAATGTCTTAGAATAGTTAAGAAAATAATTTTGACCTTGTGGACCTCTGAAAGCATCCGGGTCCAGAAGTACACTTTCAGAAATGCCACCCTATGGCATTCTTGGTGTGTAATGAAATAACTCTCCTATGAAACTCGAATGATACAAATTATACACCATTATATATCTTTGGAATAATTAAGAATATAATCACTCAAATAATTTTCAGTCTTCTTTGGTTCAGATGAATAATCCTGATTGAGAAATGCTGAGACAGATTAATGTTCGACTACACAGTATTATCTACAACAGCAACTGGAGATCAATGGAGTAAATTATCATGCAATAATGAGAAACAACATATAGGAAGTAACACAGATAAAATTAGTTTCTTGTACCTAAAGCATAGTCAAGTTAGATAAATGCCAGATGTAACGCATACTAAATGGATAGAAACAAAAAGATAAAGAGAAACCAGATTTAAAAGGGACTTGAAAACTTTTATTTTCTATGTCCATCTCAGTGACAATACATGAGAATAATGCTGCCAATCCTTGGCAAATTTTTAATAAGAATAATCAGTACAATGTGTAGGAAAAGGAAATGAGAAATGTTTCTAAAATGAATAAATAAAAAGCATACAATCTCCACCTCCACCTTTCACCTGAATAGAAGGAAATTTCTGAATGCTTTTCTCTAATCTTCATTCAGTAGAATGGAATAAGAAAGTTAACTCTGCAACTAGATTGCTCAAGGAAGGAATAACCTACTGCTTGTAAAAATTACGCCATTTAAGATAGTAATGCACCTCCATAAAATAAACCGAAATTTATATTTGAAAACAAAATTAACAAAGTACTTAAATCATCAAAGATAAAAATCTAGGTTAGAACTCAATTTCCACCTTTAACAGTCGGATAAGATTTTAGTCACTATTGTTCTCCAGGAATAACACTAAATTACCTAACAAACTATTTACTTTGTAAAATGTAGAGGGAAGAAAAAGCCATGGTTATTAGTGCATATATTTTCATATCAAGAGACATATATGGATCAATCAGTAGTCAACAAAATGCACAAATATTTTTCTATGTTACCAGGTTACATTCTTACAGAAGATACTGTGTCATAAAAACATAAAATGTCAAATATCA